TCCGGCCTGGTACGGCCCTGGCAGTTTCGTCAGAGACCCAGAGAACACTCCATGCCCCCGGCTTCGGCCTGGCACGGCGCCGGCAGTCTCGTCAGAGACCCAGAGAATGTTCTGGTCTCCGGCCTGGCATGGCGCCGGTAGTCTCGTCAGAGACCCAGAGAACATTCTGGTCTTCGGCCTGGCACGGCGCCGGCAGTCTCGTCAGAGACCCAGAGAATGCTACATGCCCCCGGCTTCGGCCTGGCACGGCCCCGGCAGTCTCGTCAGAGACCCAGAGAACATTCTGGTCTTCGGCCTGGCACGGCGCCAGCAGCCTCGTCAGAGACCTAGAGCACGCTCCGGTGTCCGGCCTGGCACGGCGCCGGCAGTCTCGTCAGAGACCCAGAGAACGCTCCATGCCCCCGGCTTTGGCCTGGCACGGCCCCGGCAGTCTCGTCAGAGACGCGGAAGCAGCACTAGACGCCTGTCTTCAGCGTAACGCAGCCCACCAGTCACATGAGCGACCCGGAAGAAGCTCCGCACTCCTGGCGTTAGCCGGGCACAGCCTGCCAGTCACGTGAGCAACCTGGAAGCGGCTCAGGACTGTCAGCCTTGGCATGACGCAGCCCCAGCAGTTGTGGCTATTTGGAACGTGTACTAGCAGGTATAAGAACTCTGTGTCCTCCTCTCTATTTCAAATATATCAATCATTTTCTTAATTTTTTCAGTATTTATTTTCATCGTTTGGACCTGACTGCTGCAACAGACCACACACACAGCACAGGGTAACAGGCAAGTTCCCAAGGTAACAAAGTTTAAAAAGGTTATGTATTCAGTCAGAACCCCCAGTGTCTGAACATTTGGGCTTCAGAGTCTGACAGCTTCTTGACATTTCCTGTTTCTAAGTTTACGAAAGTTCCTGGTTTTATTCAGAATTACAGCTTTGTCTTATGGCAAGTTTTGTTCTGCCATATTTACATTTCTGTTACAGACGTTTGTAATAGTTTGCCCCTTCCCTAAAGGCTTTGTATTTGTTGCCCGGTGTGTTGCCCTGACAAACTACCACCAACAGGATAGTTTACATAACAACAGTGCATCACTTAAGGAGGCTGGAGGTGTGCCACCCAGTGTCCCAGGGTTAGTTCTCCGGGAGCTCTGAGGGTGGTTCAGGCCTCCACCGGCTTCCAGAGCTTAGCGGGCCATCTTTGGTGTTCCTAAGCAAACAAGCAACACCCTGGACTCTTCCTTAGCCTTTACCATGTGTTCTTGCTTTCTGTTTGTTTCACCAACTTTCCCTCTGCATAAGGACCCATGCTACAGATGTCATCATATCCAAAATTACCTCTTGAGTAGATCTATTTCTAGATAAGGTTATATAATGACGTACTGAGGCTCAGTATGAGGGGAACTCGAGTCAGCCCATAGAAGCCAGTCTTCAAATGATAATCTGACATCTCCCCTCCATTTCAAGGATGTTCGGGTCACTGCTGTATCATCTGTACCAACAACAGAACCGGACACAGAAACCAAACAAACACTGAATGAATGAGTAAAAAAATGAGGCTGTCAAGTGAAGATAAAGAAAAAAAAAATGAATGCTAGGGAGTTAGCTAAGCCAAAGCAGCAGCTGGGTCAGGCGTTCCTGCATAGAGTTCAGTGGGAATTAAAAATGTCCCCTTGCCGAAATTACAAAATACAATATATTCCATAGGCCTCAAAGTCACTCAAAAGGTTGCCAAGTCAAAAATGTTCAAAACCAGCAACTACTCTAAGCACTTTGAAATACCGATTTCTGGCTTAAGGGAAAAATAATAAAAGATAAAGTACCGGAACTACAGTACTAAATGATTCCAGGTTAATTAGAGATCAAAGGTCACCTAACAAAGGACTCAGAGCCAGATCTACCATGTCCGTGGTGACCCACGGGCCATCTCCTGCCTAAATCAGAGATGATTCCTTCAGACAATTTGGCTTTCATTATTTTAATAATTAAGCCATTCTGGAGAAGAACCAAAATGAATTATGATCTGCAGCAAACTCTGTCAGTCAAGCTTCTGCTCTTTTTGTAACTACATTTTTCAACATATCATCAAAACATAGTATCTACATAATAAAGGACTGATGGTATTCTGTGCTATTTCCCCTAATCATCTCATTCAAATCCTATCAACATGAATTGTCTACTGGCTTTAAAATATTGAAATACTATAAACTTCGAATTCAAGCCCTAGGTAGGTCTACATTCGTTTCAACAGAAACGTCTTGCAAGGTTGCACTATCATCTTCAATTTCCTTCACTCGTTTATTGTGGCTGCCAGTGGTGTACCTTAAAGAAACACTAACTTGAAAAGCAAATAACAAAAAAAGAATCTTTTAACTGTTTTTTATAAAAACTTATTTTATTACCATCAATATTTTTGTACTGCTTGTAATAAATCACTTTACAAAACTGGCATCTGAAATGCAGTGATTCTGCCATGATACAAATTTCAAGATTTACGAGGGGAGAGGGAGAGCAAAAGCATTCTCCAACCTTTTCAGGACTGATAAGTAATACAGAGCATGTTGACAACTGACAATAGCCATCACTATAGCTATCCCTATAGTTGGAAAGCTTCGCTAAACTTTCTGGCTGTATTAAAAATTGTATCATAAAGAAAGCTCTTTGAAAACAATATATGAATGCTAGCTAAGGAAATTGATCTGGAAACCAAAAACATTCAAGGCTTGCTCTTAAGATCCTGCTACCAAGCAATACCCAAACTAATCAAGTAAAATAAATCTACAGCTCTAGATTATAAAATCCTATACACTTTCTCCTTAACATAATTTCTAATGACAATGATGAAATGTTAACATATGTGAAGATAAATGCAATATAGCTTATAATTCCCAAACTGAAGAGTTTTAGAGCAAGATATAGAAAATGAAAAATACTGGTATTAATACGGTGTATTCACAACACAGTCATGTAAGACAGGTTGCTGCCAACATTACTTGGTAAGAGTTAATGAACTGACTGGAGCAAGTGGGCCCGACACAGTAGCCTAGTGGCTAAAGTCCTTGCCTTGAACACACCGTGTTCCCATATGGATGCCAGTTCTAATCCCAGTGACTCCACTTCCCATCCAGCTCCCTTGTGGCCTGTGAAAGCAGTCAAGGACAGCCCAAAGCCTTGGGACTCTGAACCCATGTGGGAGACCCAGAAGAGCTCCTGGCTCCTAGCTTTGGATTGGCTCAGCTCCAGGCGCTGCGGCCGCTTAGAGAGTGAATCATCAGGTGGAAGATCCTCCTCTCTGTATGCCTGACTTTGCAATAAAAATAAATCTTTAAAAAAAAAAGTACGTGAAATACAAGTGCTTCTTTGTCATCTCTATTCCAAATCTATCACACCAGGCTCAGGATCACTGTTCAAATCTTCTCCAGTTACTGTCACCTGTATCAGAATATCTGATAACTTATTCCATAAAGTTATACTTTAATAAAATTGATTCATATACATCCTTTTCTCAAGTTACATACTTCTGCTTTAGAACAATGTGTCCACATTCAATATGTCCATGTTTTAACAGTCCCTACATTTCCAGTTTTAAAAGCCTTTAGAAAAAATATCAATTCATTTCTAATAGTGAAGTAGAATAATTTTTTAATCTGCATAGTAGTTTAAAAACCCAGCAGCTTAACATAACCTCCTAATTCCAGGGATGTCAACTGTAATTCAAGCTTCAATTTTTCTCTGAACATCTGTTTTACTAAAATGAATTCCCATCCTGCCATTATGAACAAAAATAAAACTGCACTTTAACGCTAAAAGACAAGATCTCATTATTTAGGATTAGATGGACCATCTACAATTCTGATCTTAAAAATCCTATAGCTGCAATCTCGTCAACCTGTTAATTCACAAAGCAGTTGGTAGAAGGATGTAATGAACACCCTGACTGTAAGCAGACTGTACCTGAAATAAACCTTGAACAGTAACTGTTCCACAGTGAGAACAGGCAAGCCCATCACCTGTTATGCTTTCAACGTTAATGGATACAATATCTGAAGAGATTTCCCAGTAACTCTTTAGAACTCATGCAACAAAGGCTATGTCATTCTACTTTTAAAACAGAATAAAGACTATCTCCTGTGGAATTCAATACCTAGCATAGTACCTGGCTATGAGAACTTCAGAAAGCTCATGAACAAATGAAATTAAATATTTATTTTAGTGAAAAAATTTCAAATCAATGCAGTTTTTTCATAAATACACATTTCCCATGAACTTTTTGAAGTACCCTGTGTAAATGTCATTGGATGTATTTTTGAAGGGACTGCCATGGTGGTACATCAGGTTAAGCCACTGTCTGAAGTTCAAGTCTTCATTGCTCCATTTCTGACCCAGGTCCCAGCTAAAGCACCTGGGAAGGCAGCAGATGGTTCACATACTTGGAGTCCTGGAACCCAGAGTGGTTTCCTGGAGTTTCTGGGTCCTGGTTTTGGCATGGCCTGTCCTAGCCACTGTGGCAATTTGGGGAGTGATCCTGCAGATTCAAGATATTCTTCTCTATCTCTACTTTTTGTCACTCTGCCTTGCAAATAAGTAAATCTTAAAAAAAAAAAAAACTGTAGCATGAATAATTAACAAATAAGTAACCCAATACACTTCCATCATTCAAGTACTTCGTGCAGGCTACATCAAGTACTTTAAATTACACACAGCTAGTATTGTGCCACAATAGGTTAAGTGACAACCTATAATGCTGGCATCCTATACAGGTGTCACGTTGAGTTATAGCTGCTCCAATTCCCATCCCGCTCCCTGTTATTGTGGCAGGAAAAGCAGATGACCCAAGTGCTCAGGTCTCTGCCACCCACATGGGAGAATCAGATGAAGTTCCAGTTTCCTGGCTTTGCTGTGGCCCAGCCCTGGCTGTTGCAGCCATTTTAGTAGGGAATAAACACACAAAAGATCTGTGTAACTCTGCTTTTCAAATAAATAAATCCTTAAATAAATAAAATCATCCATAATAAAATAGAATGCACACAAACTTTTTTATTTTACTAATAAACAATGAGAAATTAGTCTCTTGAGTATAACCAATGGAGGGAAGAGAGGCAGTGCTGTGGTATAGCAAGTCGCACCAACATCCTATAAGAGCTTCAGTTCAAGTCCCAGCTACTAAACATCTGATCCAGCTCTCTGCTAATGACCTGGGAAAGCAGCAGAAGATGCCCAAGTCCTTGGATCCCTGAATCCACAGGAGAGAGCCTGAAGAAGCTTCTGGCTCCAAGCTTCAGACCAGCACAGCTCCGACCATTGCAGCCATTTGAGGAATAAATCAGCAGATGGAAGATTTCGTTCTGTGTCTTTCTCGCCTTCTATAACACTATCTTACAAAAAGATAAATAAATCTCACAAACAAAACTCCAATGTAATATATAGAGTGGAACTTTCACAAACCAGTCACTGGGCTAATGATTTTTCTCTAACTGTATGATATACTTAATCTTTTTCTTTATGAAACTAAAAAATATACAAAGTTTTTATAACACAAAAATATTGATATCACCCTTAATCTAACACTTTTCTCAAAAAAGCTAGAAAATTTTTAAAAAGTTAGAAATATAAGAAGTTTAAAAATGATATAAAATACCTAAAAATATTCATCCAATTAAAAAACTGTCTGGCATCAGAGGAGAAAAGATTTTGTGCATCTGTCAGTGACTTCCTCTTTGTGTGTCATAGAAAGAATTCAACATGCTTTACAAATTCATTACATTTTAAGACCATTTCCAATATATGTTACAATAAATCAAGAAATCCATTTATTCAAGGTTACTTATGAAGAATTAATCACAGACAACCTTAACTCCTTTTTCAAAAATTACATTACTTTACTGTAGTTGCATTCCAATACATAATGATGTGATTCAAAGACTGAAAGCACTTAAGAACATACAATTGCAATTCACAGACTTAGGCATAAAAAAAACGTAACATGTAAAATTCCCACAAATATTTCAGGAAAATAACTCAGAATATAAGCACACTGTAATCTTCTTTGGAATTACCTTCTGCTTAAACAGCATTACACAGCATACAATGTTGCTCCATAACACTTGTACATAACTGATACAGCCTCAAAAATCAAGAAAATGTGACACTAAGAAAACTATAGCACTTAACTTCAACAACTCATGGACTTCTCTTTTGATGCCACCTAACACCTTCTAAAAGCAATTTTAAGAATAACAAAAACAAAAAAGAAAGTCAACGACAGAACATTTATAGTCCTTTTTAAGAGGGGACAGCAGTTTGGCCAAAATTCAGTCATCAACATAACAATCTTATTTCCCACCTAAAGTTTATGAGAATATATTTTATATTAAATGGGACATTGAGGCAATGTGCCAAAAATTAAAGTACAACCTTAAAGTTTTAATTTCACACTCCGAATTTCAAAAAGGCAATTAATTCCTCAACTCATGAAAACATGATGAATTAACTACATGGGGGGAAAAAAGGACATTAAGTCATTTCATTCTTTCTTGGTATCACATAGTGAAAATAGATGTACTTATAAATCCAGCCCAGAGATAAGGTCATTATTCATTTAAAATAGTATAGAACATTTAACTTAAAGTCAGCTGCTTATAAAATGATACTTGCAAGACTGACCTATATAAGGAAATAAGTGTCATCAGAAGAGATGGTAAACTATAAATATAAAATAGATCATAACATTAAAACTTCAGACTGCTCTATAAGAACATCAATAAAAATAATCTTTCTTGGGGAAAAACTATTTTTGCATTACAAATCCAAAGCACATATTTACATATAAATTCAATAAGAAATACATTTAAGCCTTTCATTGCCACATAATTAGGTACTTTTGATGATAATAAAAATGATATACTTTTTGAATATGTGTGCATCAACACTGAAAAGCTAATTTTTCTTTTTTCCTTTTGATGCATGCTTGGGTTTCGGTTCCCAGAGAGCGTTTTTTACAAATCTTGACGCTGCACCCCTGTCCAGTTTTCCAGCCTTTTTCTTGTCTGCTATTTCCTTGACTCTATTCATGTATACTCTGATTCTTTCCTTAAAGATAAAAAAAAAAGGCAACGAGTTTATTGGGCTGTTCATCACTACTAGGTTTTATTATGCTATACCTCAGTTAAATTCCATAAATATGTATTTATTGCCTGTTAACTACATAGTGCTAGTAAATGCAAGTGAACAGGATAAATCGGCCCATGTCCTCCCTCATAGAACTCACAATCGTGGGGCAGAAGGAAACAGAGGTATTTCAAAGAAAAAGAACCACTCTAAGATATAACTAGAGAGATAAACACTGACTTGTTTATATATAATTACACATAATTAGCATCAACCTACATACTGTCTTTATCTGAAGTTTATAATCTAAAAACCTGAACTCCCAAACACTTGCAACATCCATACTAAATTCTCTTGAAATTTTTCCAAATAGGAAATAACTTAAGTGGCATTTATTTTTATATACCGTCTACAATTAAAGTAAGCAGAATGAAAACATAAGATTCTTTATTCAATTTCATAATTTTGATAAATGCATGAAACTTTGTAATAAATATGTACAGTTTTAATCAAACCTTACAAGGTGAGAAACATAATACATTGCCATATCACTCTGAATCTTCTGTGACTATTTATCAGCATAAATGGCTGTCTTGTATTTCATTTAGAGAAATAAAGGTGATAAGAGCCACAAAACAAAAGCCTGAAATGATCACTGCTAAAACGCATGTTTCATTAGAATGACCAAAATAGATGCAAAAACATACACAGAACTCAAAATCATTTCCCTGTACTCCTCAGAGAACAAAAGACTGTATGATAGTGGGTGGCAGTAGCACACATCCCAGTCTCTCAGGGCCTTTGCCCACTCCTCCACCACAATGACCTTTCCTGGGGCACCTACACAGTCAAGCTCTCTCTCCTGCCTAGCCTGTCTTCTCCATGAGGTCCAGACTTCACAATCCTGCCCAGGCACTCCAGTCCCCTCAATGTTACTCTATTTTTTTCCTGTAACACCTAATTTCTAATATATTATATATTCCTATATATTATTTCTTAATTTGATGATGTGTATGGTTTGTCTTCCACCATTACACATAGCCTGGTGTCCTAGCGTCTTCCATATTCTTCAGCTTCACTGAAGAATCAGCTCACGTGAAATAATGCCTGGCTCCCAGTGGGCATTCAAATATTTATTGAGTGAATAAATTGACTATGTTCAATGCCTTTCCCCATTTATCAAATAGGTTTCCTATCACACACTAATTCTGTAATCAATTAGTAACGTCTGTCACAAGGTCAGAAAAGGAGAATCAGTTTATGGATGCTTTTTATTTGCTAGTCTTACGAGTGAATATTAATGTGCTCCAACAGAAAGTGGGTTCTGAGAAAGACAAATGTTCTTATCCTCTTACAAAGACAGTTCTGGATACTCTAATGTTGTGTTAAAGAAAAAAAGAGGAATTTTATAAACGTAAAATTCACATTAGAAAACTGGAAACAAATGACATAACCCATATTTCTTAAGTCAGTATTGCTGTCAAACCAAGTAAGTATTAAAAATGTTTCATATTTCTACTTTATATATTTTTCACAATTACAATATTTAGAAGTAAATTTATTTTTCCCTCAAGAACTTTATAGGAAGAAAACGTCCCACATGTTTTAAAAAACAAAGATAACAGAGTTGGTTTACTTTTTTTTTAAATAAATAACCAAGCACTCTACTAAGCTGTAAATAACACATCAACTACCATAAGACTTGTGAAGAAAAATTCCATGTCAAGTATGTTCATATACATACTTACACTGTATTTCACAAAGAAAAAATGTTAATATTCTTATATTCATAAAACCAAGTCAAGAAAATAACAATGACCTTGATTTCTAATTTTTTCCTTAAATGTGAAAGATTTAATTTTGGAAGTCAGCAAAAATTCTAACATATCAGACCTTATATACTATACTTATACATCCAAATGGGATACAAAGACAAACCTAGAAGATTTATTACAGGTTGTAAATATGTCACTAATGCAGAATTACTGGACAGTACACATACAACTGGTGCCAAAAAAGCTTTTAGCTTTGTTGCTGAACTGGATTCTTTACTGCTGAGAAAATGAATTAATGGAGGATTTGAAAAGGTGGGGGAGAAACTTTCCCGTCTTTGCTAGTAAATCAACTAAAATATAGTTTTAAGAATTGTGTTAGAGTTTTAAAAAAATGTAGTAGTTCTAGAGATGAACAGGATTTCAAGGATTTATAGAAAAAATAATATGGAAGTTATAAATAATTATTAGCATCTTAACATTTTCCCATCCAGAGATTTGTATAATAAATGGAAACCAACTCTCTGACAAAAGAAAGAAAAACCAAGAAGACAAGCTCTGGTCTGATATGATAAAGCCAACTCTAATTTGATTCTGCTTAATGAGTGTAATAAAGGTAGTACCACACAGACTTGAAGGAATACAATAGAAAAGATGTGCAGAATAAAGATAAATTAATAGAAAACTCACCAATTCCTGTTTTACGGGATGTTCCTTAGGATTAACTCCTTGAGTAGCCAAATAAACTACAAAAGAAGATATCATGGAATAAATGGCATAAATTTCAATAAAAGCATTCCAATTAAAAAAAGCCCAAGTTCTAAAAATGAAAATCATTCAAATGAATAATTAAATCTTAAATTATTCAGCCTCTAACATTAAATTTATTTGTAGCTCATGGGCATCTAGAATTCTGATTTAAGAGAAATAAATATCTGACTACTAAAATTACTAGAACATATAATCAATCGTATGTATATTGTTAGCCCTAAAATTAAATCATCTTTGGCACAATAAATAATTTCCATTCTAATTAACTCCAAAGCAATATACATACCCCAAAACATTGAATTTAACGTGTATGCAGAAACTAAATCCACTTTTGCTTGTTCAAGTGGGTCCAACTATTAAAAAAAAAGAGAAAATATACACATACTTTGAAGACCATCAAATAAAATTTAAACTTTCACCAAACATAATGCATCAAAGAAATGTTTTTCACTTTCTATAATCCAATAATCAAATGATATGGAAATAATTTGCAGAAAAAATAAATTTTATTAGCTGGTGATTTTTGACTGCAAATTTTCACTTCAGGGTATCATCCTTAGTTAGACAAGGAATGTACATAATCCAAGAAAAATTCTTTTGAATTATTTTAATTTCAGGAGTTACAATCTAGGCTTTACATGTCAAAAGTAATTTATCAATACAAACATTGTACATGATGCATTTATGTATAAAAAGCAGGCTAAAATGCTCCAGCAATACCAAAGACAGAAGAAACATAATGAGATTTGTTTTAGACTGTCAAAGTCAATTTACTGTTTTGATCCTATAGGGTTTCCAGAAACCCTGATAACATCATTGTAATACTTAAAAGGTCAAAGATAGAGTCTGTCAAAAAGAATGCTCTATGGGCTCCATTTTTCCAAAAACTCAGTCAAAATAAAAACATAATTAGAAGCTAGATCTTCAGACTGGAGCTTTGTACTTTTTCCCCATAAAATACATATTTATAAAAAGTAAAAGTGAAAAAGAAGCAGATAACATTGATCTACATCCTATTCCATATAACTCGTAAAACACTTTTTAAAAAAATGAAACTCATGTATAAGAATTACATATTTTAAATACCTTCTGTAACAATTCATTTCTAGAAACAGACATCATGGTTTTCAACATCTCATCCACAGCACCAATGGAGTTTTCAAATGTTGACAAATATTCATGAATTTCCATGGGATAATCTTCATTAATTTCTTCACCTGCCATTATGACCAACTGCAAAAATAAATTAAATGCTTAGAACCTTACTAATAATCGAAAGGTCAAATCATATATTTCAAAAGCTCTAAAAGAATTAGAACCTGAAGATAACTGTTTAATTAAAATCTCCTTAGAATATCCAACTTCTCATCTTTTTAAAAATTTATTTCTTTTTATTGGAAAGTCAGATATAGAGAGGAACAGAGACAGACAGAAGATCATCCATCCACTGATTCAACTCCACAAGCGGCCACAACAGCTGGAGCCAAGCCAATCCGAAGCCAGGAGCCAGGAGCTTCTTCTGTGTCTCCCACACATGTGCAGGGTCCCACGGCTTTTGACCGTCCTCCACTGCTTTCCCGAGCCACAAGCAAGGAGCTGGATGGGAAGTGGGGCCACCAGGATTAGAACCAGCGCCCATATGCAATCCTGGTGCATTCAAGGCAAGGACTTTAGTCACTAGACTGCTACACCAGGCCCCCAACTTCTCATCTACTTGGGGGAACAGGAAGAACACACCTACCTCTACTAATACTATACATACCAAACTCTTCAACATTCTTAAAGCACTACAGACATGATTACCAAATATGAGATATCAATGATAAAAATCCCACATTTTAAAAACTTCCAGTTGAGGTTAAAGACCAAACTAAGCAATGGAAATCTGATACAGAAACAATAATGCTTTGTAAAGATTTAAGCAAAGCATTTCTTTTTAAAATTGATACAGTTTAGCCCTTCTACATTTAGCTGTTAATTTAAGCTAAAAAAAAAACCCTTGAAATTTTAGACCTAAAATATCTTGACTGTTTATCACTAAAATCATTTTTGTATCCTCATATATATTTATATTCCCTAAGCATCTTTAAAATATTAATAAGAAATTCAAAGAGTCCATAAATCACATAAAGTCTGCAAGCAGAAAAGAGGAAACTTGGGGAAAATAAACTACATAGTTTTCACTTAGGCTGGGGCAAATCCTGATAGTCCATTCTTTTAAAAGTCACATATGCATCACAATAATATTTACATGAGAAAAAGCAAAACCCACACAATACATTAAATAAAACATCTGAAAGCAATTTCAGAACTATTCGAAGATATACATATATATTTTAATACAGAAATATCTCCTTCTTTATAGAGTTAAAAGGAACACCAAGAAGGTATGTGACAGCAGATACCACAGACACCAGAATCAGGCACTTGGGCTTTCTGCCTTGCTTGATCACTGACTGACCCCTTAGATCACCAAAGCTCCCTGGGCCGCAATGCCTCATCTGTTAAAAATAAAGCAGTTCGTCTAATGATTTGTAAAGTCGCTTCCATCTCTAATGTTAGGTCTGTCAAATTTTAAAAGTATTATTTGAATATTTAGTCACAATATAGCAACATTTCTTCCTCATGAGTATACTCCACTGAAACATCTGGCACTATTTTCTCTCTCCCTTTTAGTCTCTCATTCCCTCCTTGCACAGTTTCTCACATCTACTGGGTGCCCTACTTTTCACCCCATCTTGCTGGTATTCAAAGTCACTCACCCTGGCATGCTGCTGAACTCTTCTGATATTACTGACTCCTTTTCCTCAGTTTTTAAGACAGCACACTTTTCCTGGTTTCCCTTCTAGGTCCCTGTGATGCATCCTTCTCACATCCTCAGCCCTTTCACCGTCAAGTGCCCACCACTTGTCCCTGAACTCTTGTTTTCTATCTAATTTACTCACAATGTGATCTCAGGACTTTAAAATGCACTAATAGATGCATGACTCCCAGGTTTATTTCTGCAGCCCTGACCTCTCCACTGAACTCCAAATTTACATTTCAACTGTTTCTTCCTTTGAGTTGGATGTCTAATAAATTCTCAAATGTCACCTGCCCAAAACCAAATTGTTAACCTTGTCTACTACAGCCATCCTCATCTCTTTTCACGGTACCTACATTTTCTCAATTATTCAGACCCAAAACTTCAGAATGATCCTTGACTATTCTCTCACACTTCACCTTCAAAACATACCCAGAAGCGAACCACATCCTACCACTTCTGACACCAATACAATCCAAACTGCCACCAGGTCTTGCTTGAACTGCTGCTGCAACAGCCTCCTAAAGATCCTCCCTGTTTAAAAAAAAAATCCTTCTTGCTTCTGGATTGACAGTAGATTATCAACCCTAATTAAAAACTTCCAAAGGTTTCCCACTTAAATAAAACAGACAAAATCCTTACAGGTGTCTTAAAACACACACACATAGTGTCCCTGAGGGCCTCCCATCCCTCCCTGCATTCTGGTCACATAGCTCCATCAATCCGACATCTGCCTACCTCAGGGAAACAGTACTACTTCCCTACCTGGAATGCTCTCCTTCCCATCTCCTCCCTACCAAAAGCTTCAGAGCTTATTATCTCACCTTCACCAGGTCTCTGCTGGAATGTCACGCACTCGTGAACCGTTCCTGACTACCTCATACTCCCTTGCTGCCTATGTCCTTACCCGTCTTACAACCCTGAATATTTTTTAAAACTCATTTACTGTTTGTGTACCCTCAAAGGAAAATAATTACACAAGAGGAGAAATTTTTGTGTTTCATTCACAATCACAGCCTAGCAATCAATAATTGTTGAATTCAAATATGCTATATCAATACCAGAAAAACAAAAATGCTTGTAAAAGAAAGTTAAATGGATTACAGCATTCATCCTTGTGAATACTACATGTCTACTTAAAATAAGTATGTAATCTGTAAAGACAGACAAATGAGAAGTAAAAAATAATGAAATATTGTATGATAAGTTCTAACATATAGCACTTGCTGAGAAACAAAAATGTGCCCATGTATACATGTGAGCAAAGATCTGGAAGGAAACAAAAAACACACAGTTTCTCCAAGAACAGGTGGGGATTATGGAATGGGATCAAAGTAGAGTCACTGTCTTTAATTCTTCATTTTTAGTGTTCAAATTTCATTTCAAAAAGCAGATATTAAATCTGCATTTAAGACTAAACTATCATTTCCCAGCTGTAGGCTACCTCGGCAAGTGTTACACTGCAGGATAGACCAGGCGAGACTGCAGCACATGCCAGCATACAACAAATCCAGGGCTGGGCAGGCCTGCTGGGGGTGACTGGGGGTTGTCCCAACTAGGCCACAGCACCTGCAGATTTAATGAAAACCAGACCTGGGCTGGGCTGGGCTGGGCCACCAGTCAGTTCATGTGAGATGGAGCTGGGGCAGAACTGACCAGGCAGCTCATCTATGCCAGCAGAAACAAAGTGCCTCATCAGAGGATGAAAAGCAGATCAGGTTGGACCCTTTGCAGCAAGTGTCTTGGTCTGTGGATACACTGAGGTGGACCTGGTCAGCCAACAGAAAAAAAAAAATTTATCTCTGGTGCAACAAAGCCAACATCTCAGAATTATCGAAACCACTCAAGTAACACCCTTGGAATACTCTTCCCCACATCAGTATCTCTAAAATGTCACCAAACAACTGTTTCCCATCCCTGGGTGCTTAGGTAATTTGACAGCAAGGAGCACCCACTTCTCCTCCCCAACCATGTACACACAGGAGAAAAAAAGCAAAAAATAAAAAAGAACTGAAACATCTGCTCCACCCACTTTCCTCCACACTTTGACACTCCTCACCCTAATCAGAGGCCCAAATGGCATGCATTCCTCTCAACTATGCAAAAAATATTTAAAGTAAAATAAAAATTTTAACTAAATCATTAAATTTAAATAAAAGCATTTTTCATAAAGTATTTTGGTTTTAACAAACATTCCAATTTTTTTTAAACTACAAAAAGGTTTTTAAGTATGGATTTTCTTTTTTCACTTAATTTCCCTATGAGAAGATATCTCTGCTCTCTAGAACAAGAAAGGGATTTTTCCTGCAATTATTCCCAGTCCCTAAGCCCCAATAAACAAGCAGTTATTTATTGCTAAAATGAGTTAGGGAAAACTCTGAGAGCAAGGCAGTAAGTCAGAATAATTGCCCTCATTAAATCTGAGCTGAACCACTGGCCTTTCTAACTAGAAAATAGAGGCAAGTTAAATTCACAGATAAAGAAGAGAAACAAGGAAAGAACTCTAATCCCTATTCCTCCTGTCCATTCCAGGAACTATAAATTCTCCTCACCCTGCCACCTACCCCTTCTAAAGGCAGCCACAGAAGAGCAATGAGAAACCTGCTCTCCTGCCTGCCCTGTAAGTCCTGGTAAGATGATGGGTAGGAACACCGACCCCATTATCCCAGCAGGATATTACTGCTACTTCTTCATCCCTCTTCTCACTGGCTATGGCAGTCAATAAGTGACAGGAGAAAAACAAGGATACAAGGCATCACAAATAGAACTAAAGTCATCAACTATCTCTTGGCCTTGATCCTCTTCTTCAGAGCCAGCTGGATCAATCAGAAACCTAAGTCACCCTTAACTCCTTCCTTAGGCCCCAAATCCAATCAGTCCTACCAACCTGGCTTCCCTAATCTCCTTATATCACACATTTTCATACTTTGTTCACTGACTATATTTTCAACAGCCCCTGAGCAGCCCCCTTAATGAATTTTTCTTCTTCTCCAGCTTGAACTATTATAAAATACAATTTTTCTACAAAAATTGTTTGGTCATGACACTCTCCTGATTAAATTCTGCAATAGTTCCTCACTCTCCTTGGCATAAATGTGCGGTCCTTACTTGTCTATCATCTGCTCCTCTTCCAATCTTAAAAACTGCCACCTATAACCATCCCTCTGGTTCCCTATGTCTGCAATGCTCTTCCAACTCCACATTTCCAACCTGTTTATCTCTGGAGGTAAAATCAAGCACCACTTCAGCCAATGAAGATTTTTATTGCATGCCTTCCTCCCATTCTATGTGAATAAATACAGTACAAGCTGCCATTATTATATGAACACTGATGTCTGTCTAGTTATGTGACCACCCCTTTGACTACACGCACTTTCAGAGGGCTGTGTTTTATTCATACTGTATCCCCAGCAGCTGACACACAGAGTGT